GGTTGAAGCGCCATCTTTCTGAGAGTATTGTGCATTTGAGCACCCAAAACAAGCACAATCTCGGCCGAAACCCGAACTTTTTCTATTTCTTGATTGCGCCATAGCTTTCTTAGACTTATTCCAGCGCAGAGCGAAGTTTTTCAAGCTGTTTTATTAACTTAAAAGATCAATATTACACACGATATACGAATTTTCTCACTCTTCTCTTTCTACGTAAACATTACGCTGTGTTAGCCTCGTTTCCAGTCCGCCCGCAAGCATTTTTCAGCGGTCCTCCAAATGAACACTAAGAACTCGAAAAGGGAGTATTGTAATGTTTTCTTCGCCTAGCATATGGGAGAATCGCCCACACTGGGTGTATTTTATCCCCTCAGCGGATAGCCGGCGACGAGTGTCTCTAGGATACTATCTTATTTGTTAAGATTATGGGATACTATCTAATTTTTTAAATTGTGGGATACAGTACTATCTTATTTTTTAAATTAACTCAGCCGTTAGCTAGTCTCCAAAGCCAAAATAGTCGTGATTGATAAATTCCAAGAATCAGGAAGACTCTTTATTTGCAGGATTGCTGATTTAAGCAAATAAGAGACTCTATCTAATATTTCAGTAAGGAAGGGTATCAGTCACCTACATTTAAAAAACCAGGCATCAGTGTATCATGAAGGACAATGGACAATGGAGTTGTGGCGGTTTAGATCTCCACTGGTGAAATCGCTTCTGTCCGAATGTGTTGCTGAATAAATAACTATCGCTAAAAATGTAATTTAATGGTATACCCTGATCGTTCAAACCCGGTGTAACATTGTAGTGGATGTCACTCTCAGGTTATATTCGTACGGCACCCGAACTAAATTATTCTGAGTTAGCGACTAAGATGGGAAGGGAATTAGCTGGACTGAAATAACTAGAGATTATTCAGATAGCACTGATCTGAATTGACCTTTCCTTTCCTTGTAGCGGTGCAACTGAGTGTTTCCATCAGGTTTGTCGAGTTCACGTGATGTTTTCCAGTGGCGGATCCAATGGTTTTATAATCGATTTGAATTTGACTTCCAATCAAGGACAGTCTTCATTCAACTGCGCACGCGGCACAAACAAGGTTCACATTTTCCAAATTAAACTTTCAATGAAGAAAGGTTTTTGGCGCCAAACATCAAAAACGCAGCTCACTGGTAACTTTCAAATGATCAGTTTGAAGGTTTTTCTAGATCTTACCATTTTTCTGCTCGATATAAACAGTCCTATATCTCGGGAAATCTTTAGATCTAAAGACTGAAAAGCCAGCCTCCAGGCTTTTTATATAACTCACTTTTTAAAATGTCAGTCTTAGTATTACAATACTCGCCTAAACGCATAATCAGAAAATGTTAAATGGCTTATTTCACTGACAGCTGTGGTTAGGAAACATTCTATCTTTTCCCTCTTTAGAATGTTTCCTTCGTCTTGCATATGAAACAATCGCCCACACTAGGTGTATATCATCTCCTAGGTAAGTCAATTGACACAATTCTTTGTCAAAGTAAATGAATTAAGGAAACCTTACACTCCCTTACTTTTTAAATTTTCTAAGTCGTTACTAGTCCTCAAACCCGAAACAGTCAAGACAGACTAGATCTGAGAGTCAGCTAGATTTGTTCGCCGGACAGTTGATTTAGGGTAGCCTCCGGAAAAAGCGTGCCAGGCGTACTTATATAAAAGAAACCATGAAAAACTACCTATCACGGTAAAGCTAGCGCTTATAGCGTACAGATTGCGAAAATAATAAGAGCTTTGATTGGTTTTGTTTCGGTAGGCACGTGCAAGCCGTTAAAGACAAAACTGATGGTGTTTGTTTACCTGAATTACCAGTCTTTGCGTTACCGCGGACAACCAAACAAGTTGGACTGTATCATTCAGCAGACGAAAGGCTAGAAAAGGATGTGAGGCTTTTCCGATATTCCTATTGGTTCGCGAGAGAATCTTTATTGACGTTGGACAAAAGAAAATAATCAGTCGGTTCCGTTAAAGCCTCACACATTTTTGTGCGTTAGCTAGTATTCAATGAATGGTCTGACCAAGTTTCATCAAAATCCAACAAAACTACATACCCTTGCAATTCGTTTAAATAAAGTTAACTCGTGTGTAAACAGACATCAGAGTTTCGGCCTTCAAAGAAATTGAGTTAGGTTTTTGTCGAGGGTCAAGGGTAGTAGGTAAAATGTCAAGGGCTCAAAAAAAGCTAGTGGTATCTATTATTCGTTCATTTACTTAATTATTTTTATTATTTTACTTGTATCTTGTGGTAAGAAATGTCCGCAAGTTTACTCGGGCGTTTCCTCCCTTTATCACTTTCTCGCATTCTTGCGCGTGTTTCAGCGCGTTATAAAGTTCGTGGGGGAAGGATTTTTCACTGCGTTCTCCTTCCTAAGTAATCTCTGTTTCGATTTTTTGGATGTCTTTTGAAACATGCAATGCCAGATATGGAAAACAAACTAGAGCATTAAGGGCTTAAAGTGACATTCAATCCATCTGAGGACGGGGATTGCTGGTATTCCTCGGCTGCACAGGCTCTAGGCATTGAAAGTCAGAGCCTGAAGAACGTGATGGA